GCCCAAGCCAGCCTGCCCACCCCTTTTTCTATCCCTTTTCTAAAGTACATTTAAGTGTCTTTTTTGTGGGAGCATTTGTTTGGTGCCTGTTTTACGCTAGCTAGCAGAAACAGTATCGGAATTTGTTCCCGTAGGGCAAACTAGTGCGCAGCTGCTTATTCTTTTCATTAGTTATCGGAAAGTAACAAAGACGGCTGCTTCTCGTAACCGCACTGGAAGCGACCTAAAGTTGAAGATTTTTGCAGTCTTACGTGTAATGCTTGTGAAGGGTCGTAAATATGTACGACCCTTCACAAGCATTGCACAACCCCCCGATACAGTGACAAATGCAAAGAGATATGAAGTTGTGACGCTTAAACGTGTATCATGGAGTACGAAGCGCACGGAAAGGGGGATTATCAGAGATTGGTGGCCAGTTTATGTGTGTGCAAGTTGCCTATAACGACTATGCATTCGTCTAGGTATTCCGAAACTTGCCCGCCTACACGAATAGAAAAAGTGACGATTCCACTTGTGCGGTAGTTGAATGATAGATTGAGCGTGTCTGTGTGCAAGTCTACTTTGGCTTTCTATCGTCGGCCAGAGCATGGGCAGGAATGTGGTATACTTAGAAGGTATAGCTATGGTATTGGGGGCTGTATATAACGTAGTATCGTTGAATTGCGCTAAAATAAAAAACTACTGGAACCGTTTTGTGTCCGATTGAGGAAAAGCTGTATAACTGTGTGGAAAGAAAACTTGTTTTAGACGAGAAGTTTGAGACGATGAACGAGTCACTGCCATCAGTTGTATACGATCCTGAATGAGCTATTCGGAAAGAGACTGATTTGCATAGTTGAAACTGTCCTGTAGATGCTTTCCATTTCATGGGCACTGAGCGGAAAGCGAACCTACACGCTCCATACGCTCTATCGGGCGTAGCATGGTACCCCCAATTATGACAGGGCGAAGAAGTGTGATACACACATAAACCTACAAAATGAAACCATGCGTTTATACATAGATGCTGTAAGAGACTGCTTCGTAAACTATCGTTAACGAGATACGCTCTGTCGCCCGCGAAAGCGTTCTGTCCCAAACCGAACGATGTAATAAGCCACCCTTTGTCACAGGCCTATAGACTCCTATAGAACCATCCTTGCCAATTAACCGGTTGGTTTGTATAACGTAGGCCGTTAGTAGTAACGGCCACTTCTCACAGAATAACGTATCGTACAATGTTAGAATTGGATCTAGAGGCTATTTTTGAACTACGCTTAAGCCAGCCTAGAATCCCTTAGTCAATAAAGAAAGCAATCAAGCTAGCGCTATAGTGGTGCTAGAAAATGTTGAGCTTTCATTTTAGCATTGTTCCAACTTAATTCAAAGTGGCGTCCGGATCTTAGCTGAAGTACGCGAAATGAATATTGCAATACAATATGGGATCATAATCTACTGAAAAACTCACAATCATACCCCGATAACAATCGAGCAAAGTAAAATTGATTTGAAATTACGACGACTAATAAACATATCGGTGGATCTTATATATACGACTCAGACTGTGCTTTCCGGCTCGAATAGGAGTGTCGCCTTGAGGAACAATGACAACAGGATGCCTGTATCGAGTAGGCAAAGAAACAGCACATGAAACTAACTATCCATTTTTCAGGCCTGTTTCTGTCCCCTTCATCTGAATGATCTGTGAAAAGGAACTAAACACAATAATAATAAAATAAACACAAGTTTACAGTCGGGTTTCGGATACATGTGCGTTTCGCCTACACAGGTATACATATATAGCTAATTTGACCCGGGCGATATGTTGTTTAACGGGAAACAATAATTTGCGGGGTAGTTTATATACATCAATGTATACGATTCTTACTGCCCTGTTTGTCATATTTAGCCAAGCATACATAACCTGCATACTTTTTACTCTCTCTCTATCTATACATATGTATATAGGGTTATCATATAAAACAACGCTACGACAAGTTCCTCTTTTCCTTTTGTTTTCTGCGTCTTCACGTGTAACCGACAGTGTCGGTAAACTAGGGTGCTTTAAATGGGTTCACATGTTGATAGCGAATCCAGTTTACATTGTAGGTTTTGTATAATAAATGTAATACTACGCAAAAGACGCTAAATGTCTCTGAGAGATGTGCACATAAGGGGGACGCTTAGGAGAAAGAGATGTTCTAATATCTTTCTTTATACAAGTCTTGCTTTTGCTTGCCTTATATGTAGACAACAGAGTGTTGAATATAATGTTGACGTCACCGGACCGGATAACACGACGTCGTTCGTTTCGCCGCTGCTGGCGACGCTGTGGGTACGTATGTTCCTTCTCTCACTTGAAATTGTAGAAGCAGTAAATATCAGCTTCATTAGAATGAGCTATCGATCTAAACCCGCTTGCGCCGAGAAAACAAGTGTACGCCATTTCGACGGCAACAATTTATAACTCCATCTGCAGCTCGTTACTTCTCTACTAAAACCCAAGCTGATACATCCACGCAGTATCTGTTCCCACCTTAGCGGTAGGTGTTTACCGGTGGGAAGTTAACAACTCGGTAATGGATTTTCGAAAAAAAAAAAAAGAGCTCCTATCTTATGCTCAACGTCTAACTGTTATGGTTATTACTGTTCGATCAGTGTCAATACGAGTCGTAAGGGTTTGACAAATATTGATGAATTGGTCCCTGTGAATAGAATTCGTTCCGCCTTATCTAAGCGTAGCCTATTAACAGGTCGGTAGTAATTGCTATTCCGCAGTCAACACCAACACGACTAAGAGCCAATAGTAGAAGCAGTAAGTAGTCTACTCCAGTGCGCATTTAAGCATGCGTGAGTGAATGTCGAACTATGAGAAAATTCAACTGAAAGATGCTGGCTTTTCATTTGCGTTCCGATCCACTGTGCCCTTGTACGAGCAGCTGGTTCGCGCAGCTAATGCCAACCGGGGGCGGCTACTGGGTTTGTCTCGTCGCTGCTATACGGCTTCCCGCCCACGCCTGTTCGTTCACTCGTTCTTTTTTTCTATTAACGTTTTTCGCTCCTTCACTAACGCGTTTCAGCTGCATCGTAAATAGTCTAGCCAATGAAGAATGGCCACGTGTTCGTGTTAAGTCGCAGCGAAAAGCGTCAGCCGACAAACAACTGGAAGTTACGATAAGCGCTGACGCCACCACTGGACTGCGTAAATACAAGCCATAGACCGAAGCTGGACGCAGAGACGAACGCAGTGTGCAGTTCAGTATTAGATATAATACAGTTACCGATTACGGTAGGCGAGGTACAGTGCACAGTACACGGCGTATAGCGACGCTACGAACAGTTTATGTTTTGCTGAAATGCTAGCAAGTGGATGAGGTATTTCGTGTGGCATCCTATTTACTTGATTCATCACACATGCGACTTAACGGCTGGGGATGTAAGTGAGGCCTTATTAAACAACTGGTATTGGTGTGGGAGGAAACAAGGCAACATTAAAAAAAAGCCTAAAATTATATACACACAGACACACACACACACACACTTTACAATCTATAATTTCGTAATTTGTACTATTGTAGCCCTATCTTCGCGGTCTACGATACATTTGCGTATGAGTACGTGTTCGCGTACCATTTACCAGCTCTCATCGTTCATGCCTTCCTTGTTACTATAGCAGAGGTGGTTGTTTGCAAGGGGAAGGCTGAGAAGGTCATTAATTCAGCGTTATGTAGCTCGGCGGCACTGCCAGAGCTAGCAGTTAACGTGGGCCTAAAATAAGATATTGTGTAAAAGCGACGCTAGGTGTTCCAAATCCCAACTAGTGACCCTGTGGTGGACTTTGCGGCCAGGGGTTCCCTCATGGCGACCGAGAGTAGCTAGCACACACAGTGTATATATATATATAATACCCGAATAGTAAAAGCAGCAGCAATAGTGCCAGCAGTCTCCTAGTGTTAAGCAGCAAAACCTGAAAGCGGCTGGCGCTAGCGAAGTAGTTCTAGTAGCAGTGCCCAGGTTTGCTTATTTCCTAAGACTGACTACAACATAGAGATGTGCACATGCTAAGCAATGGACGGACGAACCTGCCGCCTAGAGTGTGAATCTAACGGCCGACCCACGAACAAGTTTCTTCCTTCCCGATTTTTTCCTAATTTCCCGATCTAACACTCGCTCTCTCTCTCATAGATCTCCTTTAACGTCCTAGCGATGCCCTTAAGTCATTTTCTAAGGTGATGGGTGCAGAGCACTGTTACCACCACAAAGACGGTGACATTGACTAAGGCAGTTCCTTCATCCGATGGGTGACCGGCGGCGCAACATCAGCATGGTCTCTTTAGCCACGAGGCGATCGAGTAATCACTAGGCAGGTAGGGGTTTTGACGCCTTCTACGAGCCTTACACTAAATTCAGAAGGGCATGAGCCGCTGGGTTAACCCAATGCATCAGCGGAGTGAACTACGACGTTAAGCTAGTCATACGTTCTAAGCGCCGCATCATGTACAGCAAGCGAGAAATAGTCTGATAACTACCCGGTGAAGGAAAAAAAGGATCTAAGTAGTTCCGTCGTGATCGGTGGATCGAATATTTGCTTTAAAGCCCTCTTACATTGAACCGTACATTTGAAATCCAAATTTAGAGTGTAGTCTGAAATATTAGGCGGAGCCCGCAACGTAGGCGGAAGTTGGTCAAAGAGCTCTCCAATTTAATTTCAAGCGGTGACCCAAAAAGTTTCAGTGGTCTCTCGGAGCACGTAAGTTCGGCAGAGTTTTATGGGCTTTTGTAGATCGTGTACTAATATTATACAATAACATGTCATTGCAGTTCATACGGTGTACACTGAACATTCGTATTGGTGATTAACAAACTGAATTAATACTGAACTTAAATACTGATTAACAAACAACTTGACAATAACCATTGGGGACGTTAGTGTTTCGTTTGCGATTCATCTTTATTGTGTATATATATATATATATATATATACGAAAGGAACGTTTTCCACACGTATCTCGTGCTTTCGACTTAACATTCAAATCTTCGTAGTTACTCTAGCTCACTCAAGCATTTGTAAGTAAAATGACACCAATTTGATAAGTTGATGCTTGTGGAGGGGTAGGTAAAATCCAGCCTTGTCCACGCAATCATGGACAGCTCCGACCGCGGATAATATCTGCTCCGAAAAAGGCGAAAAAAGAAAAAACATTTTTTGAGCTTTCTAATCTTTGTAAGTGGTTATCTTTTGTAGATACCCGAAAAAGCTTATAATGTAACAGTTAAAAACAAATATGACCGTCCTCCTGTTAAAAGCTGCACTATTATTGTGATAAGACATGACGCTTACCTTTGTTCTAGTGTATCCGTTTGTTGCAATAATATTCGTCACCAAATAGATAGCTTCGCCGATCACATCTGTTTTGCGTGCCTGGGTTATGAGTCCTGGGTTATGAAATGATAAAGCAGTTGAGTCATACTAATAATTGTCACAGCATTGCGACCATGACCTAGATGAAAGCCAACGTGGGAGATTTTTTTTTCTGATGCAGATATAGTACGTCTGCTAACCGAAATCTGAGCGTAGAGTATAATAGTAATTCTTATTACACGCAATACAGTGCCTTATACTATGTAACCGTGAGTAAAATACGGAAGAAGGAAACGATAAAAACACTGACCGTGCATGCAATGGTGTTCATTATCCTCGGGCATAAAAGTACCCTTTTTAATGAAGACGCTGCATTTTTTGAACAGCATGCAGGCCATCGATATGGTTTGTTGCAAGAGGCCCACTGGCATTGAGCCTTGAACGGCTGTCAGAGCGCATGTACGAATGTTATTTGGCATAAATTTGTCCAGTTCGCCTAGGTCACAGGGTTTAAATGGGCCCGGTCGCACATACGGTATTTCCTGGTAATCTTTGTCACTGTCCTGAGCCCCGTCTGAAAGACCTGTAACCAAAACAATTGCGTAACATAAATAGGTGGCAGGCGCGAATCCATTGAACAGAGGGCACATGATAGGACCGTGTCGTTCGTCTGTCTAAAGTCAGTTAGCTGCGAGCCCTGCAAACCCAGACCGAGTGTTTCTAAACGGCGTTCAAACAAATGTCAATAATAGAACGGGAAAAGAAGATGGCCTGTAGGAACCACGAAGCGTCGCAGAATCATATATATATGTAAATTTTTATATATCTAAAACTTTAGACAGCTGGTGCAAATGAGCACACATATATAGACGACTGTTGCTGAGTTGAAATGGTTGGCGGAAAGCCGAGGTAGTATTTGGAATGAGCGTAAACGCTGTCAGGCTTTTGTTAGACCATCTTTTATGTGTTCAAATATTTGTTCACTATTTCTAGAAGGAAAATTGCAAATGAAGCTGACTGAGGTCTGCCATTAGATTTTTTATACTTAGTTCTCCCAATGACGATATAGTTTATGGTGAGCCACTTGTCAGTAAGTAGTTATAGCTTCTGTTGGCTTGACGGATCAGGAAGTTCACTCTTTTGAAACTATCAGCACTAATTAGAAAGTCACCTTTAATAAATAGAACGGATTGGAGTCACCTAGAACATTCGCTCAGGCATGAAGATTACGTCTAGAGTTTGCATAGAGCGCACTGTTGTACTGACGATTTTGCCGCGCATCTTCTATTTAAAGTAATGAAAGATTCATTTCTGACGTGTGCGACGAACAAACAAGGTTTTGTGGTTAACCTTAAGTCAAATAAAGATACAGTGGTAATCGAGTTCCACTTTCTAAATGCCCGTAAGACGTGCATGACCCCGTAATACGGGTTTAGCTCAGTGGGAAGTCTATCGATCGAGGCAACCAAATGATAAAACAACAATCAGAAAATGGCTACAATGTTAACTCGGCCTTATCGTTATTTTAGCGGGTGAAACTGCTAGCTTATTGAATAATGCTAGAGGGACGGCTTATCGTGAGTCTACTCTAATAATCAATCAGCTACATCGCATTCTAATTGTGCACCTAATGCACACCTCCGATGTGCAGCACTAAACGAAACAAGGTACGTCAAGGGACCCTGCTATTCTTGCTATCTGCATGAGTATACTAGCTGTGCATTATAGCCATATCCAATATGATACGAACTGTAATTGTCTTTAAAAAAAAAACCCCCTTTATATTGATGCTCGCTATAGTCGATTTCGAATCTGACCAGAATTCAGAATTTCGAAATTCTGCTGTGCTTCTATTCCTTGCTACCGATGGAAGGATGGTGGTAATCAAAATACATTCAGTGTTTCATCCGAAATCAGGGTCCTTTTGAGTTTGGCGAAGAGCGCGTTTCTGGCTTTTTGTTTACTGCTACAAGCAGACGCGCGAATTCTCATTGCAGCATAAGATCGACGAGAGGCGCCTTATGCGTTTTTTCAACTTATTTTCCATTTTTAGCTCGCTTTACGAATTGAGACCACGCTTTGATGACAAGTGCGGAGCCGACTGGGCGTTCATAAGCGGAGCGATTTCGATCGAAACCGATGGAGAGAAAAATAAGCAACTTTACAGTCTGCTCATTTGTCCTTACTGCGATAATGGCCGCTACGTCAAGGAAGAGCTTGAAAGGATAACTCCGTAGAGTTAAGGCTCGTTTTCGCTTTCTGTCCTTCTCAAGGCACAACCAAAGACCAGCTTTCCCATCATGCGGTTCTCCCGTATTCAAATAAACAATCGAAACCAAATTAACTAGGGTCTGTCTTTCCAGTTCTGTTCTATAGGTCGACCGTGGTAGTAGAACAGTTAACGCAGCAGCTGCTGTCGTAGCGCATGGGGCTACTTAAACCACCGCTGCGGTGCGTTCACATTGGCGGCACATTATACGCAAATAGAGGCGTTATTTTTTTTCGCACAAATGTTGCCTCATAACGATTTCTGCTGTTCTACGGCACGTTTCGCTATGGTACGCGAAAGAAGGAGGCGAATATGGGCAAAAAAAAGTTGGGCTTGAAATCGTGAAAGGAAAGCCTTATTAATTTTATGCAATTTCCGGGTATGAAAGTTTCCGTATTCTCCAATCCGCCGTTGGGATCTGCCGCTACTGTAAAACGACACAGTCCCACCAACAGTACAAACTTCTGTGGCGAAAATCGGCAGCAACACCGTTGCAACTGTACAGATGCCAGTCATGTCTTGTCCCCTTCATTCCCAAGCTTGTTTCGTCGACGACCGGCAATGTCGGGCGCTTTCAGAATTGTAACTTCAGCCGACTTCTTGTATTTCCATTGCATTCGAACCATCCATTGAACGAGTTCAATGCTCCGGAGAAAAACAACACAGGAAGTCGGCGCTAGTTGAGAGTGTCTTGTCTCTTCTCGGCATCTTGGTACTCTCTCTTTTTCGCGCACTTCCTGCGCAGCAAGACGACTGAGAGCAGGGGCGAAAAGAGGACGTCGAAATGTTAAGCCCCAGAACCGTTTCTCTTTCCCTCGAGATTAGGACCATTTATAAGACATGCACCGAGCATCATTTAGATTTAGCTCTGGGGATTTGCGCGTTTTTCAAGATGGCGGCGGAAGTATCAATGGAGAACAAACGGAGAGATGGCTAACAACTAACCATTCAGGCATTAAGCCATCCAGTACTCCTCTGTTTTTCACAGTATTTTACTAAAAAAACAGAGGGAGGGGGGCACTCTAGTGCGTGGATCCGGCCATGACACTTTTACTGGGGCTCGTCTTCGTTGGCCCTAGAGATAGTCGGGTACTCCTGCGCTGCTCACAGACTCATATGGAGCAAAAGCAAAAGCAAAAGCTGCTGCAGCACCATCGGTGGTGCCACCACGAAGCTGAACGGCAGCGCGAAACTACGCAAGGAGCAAGGGATGAATGGGTCGACACGACTGGAAGGTTCTGGAAGATTCTGCCATACGAGCAAGGAAGATGGAAATTCACTCCCAAAATGGGAATTAGTCAGGATATAAATTGAGTTCGCTGGCCGAACGAGTGAACAGACTGGGTTGGACAAGGATGGTATGAGCTCAAGAAGCCATATCGCTCATACGGGCGTTCACGCAGAGGCAGCACGAGTACAAGCGAAACTCAGTAGGGACCCAGAGGCGCGAAAGGATTTTCGCCTCTATCCCTATTTATTTTCACGTGTTCTTTTCGATTCCCCCATCCATTCCTTTGCTGTTGCCTGCCTTTTTCCTACTTACTACGCTCAACTTACTTGCACCTCTCCTGCGAGCAGCAGCCGGCTGCTTTCTGGCAGCATTTGCATATTAAAAATGTATTCTTATATTCTAAGGCCGAAGGCCCTTTCAATAAAGAAGTGCTGCTGCTTCCCAAGAGCCTCTATGCCCAGAGGAATGAAAGAGTGCGGATGGAGAGTAAAGCAAAACCGTCAAGGAAAATACCTAACCGTAGCCTCCTCCATGGCTTACCTATAACAGATTACCACGAAGTGATGCCCAGTTGTCGGCTAGTCGGTCTTCGTTTCATTGTTATAGGACGGACGCTATCTTACGGACACTTTTGCACCCTCTCGTTGAATATTATTGTCCCCCATATATGTGTATATATATAGGGCGACGGACGAAAAAAGTATGAAAAGTATGACCTGATTAGTGAGGTTAAGAAAATAAAAGGATTCTGTGCGACGCTCTGAAGACCGTTGAATGAAGGCGTATAGGTTTTGGTGCAAGAAGGTGAGCGAAGCTTCTTTGAGCGATTGTTCTGGTAGCTCGTCTGTCGCTCGCCTCGCGAACAGCAGATTCGTGGCTTAGTGGAGGAGATGTGATTTCTTTCGACAGTGCACGCATTTGAATTAGTCTTGGACGACTGTCGTGTTCTTGTCAGCTCACCCTTTGATCGCACTGTCGTTCCTGCATTATACATGGCAAGATTATCCCATCATCAGGACTGACGTCAACGCAATGTAAATGGATGGACGTGTAATGGTATAAGATAAAAAAAGGAGACATTACCTATACTAGAGAAATTTATTAACACGTCACGGCTACACAGATTAAAGATCTACTGTATACAGTATTACTAACACAAAACAGCCTTGGCAACTAGGCGTGTACACACACACCCGCACACATACACGCTGTGAAAGAGATTTCTTTAGGTCGGCATGATTACGCAATGACGTAGACATATTAGTAGGAATATCAAAAAGCAGGTAGACAGTCACTGATCAGCCAGAGCTGTGAAGTGATGGAACGAATGCGCGACAATTTGATCTTAACATCGACCTGGACCTGACACAAGGTGAGCCACATGATTATGTCGAGATAATTTAGTGAGAGGCAGTTCAGGTGTCGAGGCAACTATAAAGGCGGTGGCGGCAGCTGTAGTAATTGTAAGGTAGTAGTAGCAAGCGATACCAGTGGCTGGCAGCCGTCGCGTCACAATGGTGAAACACTAACTCTACTTTTGCTTGTCTTCATCACGCACAGGGACAAAGAGCTGGTGGATGGGTGGAACAGTTCATTTTCACGATTGGCTTCTGAGACGCAGCGCCTGAAGGCTCAGATGGGCCTGCTATTGTCTTTACGTGAACTGTTTGCCCCAACACCCACGCCTGTCCCGCACTTGCTGTTCAGGACATCCGCATCGGGCACGAAAGCGCTGCTAGCTTTTGCCGCCCGAGAGGAAGCTGGAAAATGTTTTGTACACGATAGACCAAATTACGTCGTATTTCCGGCTCTTACTTGTTGACTCCCGGATCTCATGGTTTTAATCTCAAGTAGTTTTACGTAGTGAAACAGCGATATGAAAATCAGGTTGAATCGCGCTTTTTGAGGTCACCATCCTCGAGTCACCTCAGGCCACCGGGGTGCCTCTAGTCATAAGCTAACCGGTAAGTTTCCGATTCCTTAGTAGCAAGCAAGCAGGCTCGCGTATTCAGTGCTGCAAAATACTTTTTCTAGGAAACATTTTCCTTTAAATGGCTACTTTGTGGGAACCTGAACTTTAGTGTAGCCCATGCAATGTTGTCCCAAACCCGTGCTATTTATACATTGACCCACCTACGATACACGTAACTTCGGCAACTTACAGCGATCTTGAGTTCAGTAATTCTTCGAAATTGAGTTAATAGGCATAGTTCTGATCAC